GACGACGACGACGGCTGTTAAAACGTCGCTAAAAAAATGAATTTGCAATCTTTGAAAGTTGATCGGACGCCATCTACCGTCGACGCCATAAGTGGATTTAGTTTGTTGTTGGTTCTCTTCTTTGATTGCTCCGAGAGGTTTTTCTTCTTCCGGTTTTCCCATCTCCCGCCAGTCAAAAACCAACATTTTCAAATAGACCTTGTCACGGTTTTCGACGCCATCTTGACGAGTAGGCAAACGTGTGAGAAATTACAGTGTTTGTATGAGAATCTAATTTCGAATAATTTCCGTAAAATCGCCGTTCTGAAAAAAATATGATTAGTAAACTAAAGCTTTATTCCTAAGGACTCTACTGAAAAAATTTGAGGGCGTTACATGCACTAGAAGACCTAGAACCACTTTTTAAATTTCCTATACATTTGGCTGAAAGAAAGTCCCGGAAAAATTACAGACAAATATATGGAAAATCTAAAGCAAGCCTCTGGGGAAATTTAAGCACAGGTACGCCCCCACAATTGTTTAGGACAGTCCTTTGCTTTGTAGCTTTAGTTTACAATTGATATTTTTTTTCAGAACAGCCGTTTTATGGAAATTATTCGACATTAGATTTTCATACAAACACTGTAATTTCTCACGCGTTTGCCTACTCGTCAAGATGGCGTCGAAAACCGTGACAAGGTCTATTCCGATTCGACCAGGAATCATGTAAACAAAGAAGCACTACGTGGATGTGCTGCCTTTGAATTCTTATTTATTGCTGTTTATCTTCTATTCACGCTTCTGTCGAGTACTTTGCATGACGATGGTCTTATACGAAGACTTTGGATTAAGAAAGTTGTTCAGAGTGGATTTTATTTCAGCTCTTCCTAGGACATCTCAAATTTAGAGAGGAAATCATTGAAAAAACTTGTTTTGAAAACAGATTTTGGATTGATGAAGAAATGTTAGACTCCTGAACGATTTTCATAATTGCATAATTATCAGTTCCCGGGTTGATTACGAACAAAATGACCAGCTCCCAAGTGACTCGCCAGCTCAATTGTTTAGTGCGCCTCACCGGTATCGCAGTGGTCAGGGTGTCGAATCCAGCAAGCATACGTTTTTTTCAGGCTTTGTTTTTGCAACAGCATAAGGTGCGTTTTTGACTGGGATGATCTTCTCTGCATTTTATACTTCTTCATCCCTCAATTCAAGTATATAAAACGTTTCTAGTGAAAAATGGTAAAATGAAGCTTTCCCGGAAGTCTATATTTTGAAAATACGCGAAAAACAAACCTTTAAGGCATATCTCGTATTCTTAAAAAGTCGTCCTTGTCCTTGAATCTAAAGGTCTCTATTAGCTGGGTAATAACCAATTTTTCTAAATATGAAATAATATTTCTTTAAAGGTTCCCATTGATTTTCCGGCGGAGGGCTATTCCGGTGTCGACGTAGACAGGTATATATATGAAGGCTATACACTTTTATTTTTATCCATCCAAAATATTCCTCTCTCTTTGATTTGCTTAAATCCCACAGCTAGTTCTTGATACTGAGTTAGAGTTGATGAAATTTGAAAGGTATTTGCTTTTATTTTGCGATTGACATCAATGGTAAAATATCAGATAGGATATCATCTGAGCTGTTTGGTGGAGTTGTAAAAAAATGGCGGACGATTACACACCTTATGCGTAGATGAAATAACCGAGATAGAACATGATATATAGCACTCAAAAACCAGACCACCAAGTTGAGAAAGTTGTAATCGCTGAAGTCTAAGATAGAATCTCCAGCGGTTCTCGGAAAGTCAATTTTTAAGAAGGATAAACTCATTCTGACCGAGAGAAAGTCCCATTATTCTTTATTTTTCTGACCTTTATATTAAAATTTATTTGGTCTGCGCAATGCGTGGCGGTCGGGAAAAATCGGATGTGCTTAACCAAGCAGCGAGAAGCCCGGTCATGCTCATATCGTCGCGATATTTTTTTTGGTGCTTTAAAACGAAAGCAAGAAAGAAGTTTTGTGATCTGGCTTATCACTTTTGTTGTTTGGTACAATCTAACCGCCATGATAAGCTAGCAAAAAAATTAGTTCATTCTCGCAAGGAGCCTAGTCTAAGGTAACTCTGTTCTCGCCCCAGACCCTCGATGATGTTTCTCTTTTCTGGGGGCACCAGTGTCTTTAACGAGTGTCTAGGGTAGAGAATGTAGATTTGCGAGTAGCTTTACAACTGTTTTGTTTCTTCGAAAAGTTGTTATTGGTGTTGTATTTGCGTCTTTAGGGTGGACTTTGAGAAATATCCTGGACTTATTGACGTGGAATATTACAATGTGACTATGCAGGCAGGGGATTGTCTGTTCATTCCCCAAAGATGGTAATTATTCTATTAACTTGAGATCTAGAAAAACTGGATTTGAAATAAAACGCCGAATCATTGCATTGTCAGCCCGAATCATCTTTTCACGCAGTACATTCGAACTACCGAGTGATTTCGAGGGACAAACAAAACACTAAGAACAATAATAAACAATTGAAATAAGTAATAAAAATTAAGTTTTAGAGACTACAATTTTGAAGGTGTCCTTACTTTTGGCCAGAGGATATTTTACATTTTGAGCTGTTTTGGATAAGGTGCCCAATGAATTCTGATAGGTATACAAAAATTTGTAGTCGTGAGAATCGCATATTGCAATCATTAACATTGCAGAATTAATGAAGATTTTCCGAAAGTATTGTTCACGCCAATTTACGACCGTCTCGTGACATTTTGCGAAAAGAATAGGTACTAGTACCTACTTTATTTGTTGCTGCCCTGTCCACACTAATGCATGTTCTTTGTCATCGAAAACGCATCGAACGATTCGTGTCCACACTACCGTTTTTATGCGATCTCGACTGTCCACAAAAGGGTATAGAATCGCTGGTTGTGACGTACGTTGAACTCTTTGCCCATTCTACAAACATACGCGCCTGCGATATTTTCGGTCATCCTTTTCACTCGATACGTCTTCGACCGTCTACACTAATACGATATGTATGCATTTCCGTTTTGATCCACTTAGTTTCAAAAGCGTTTTCAAATCGATGCGTTTTCGATGAAACGGCGCTAAGCGTATTAGTGCGGAGGGAAGGCCTAAACGCGTCGAATTGTATGCGTTTTCAAACGAAAACGCATTAGTGTGCGCGGGGCCTAAGGCCACTCTTCTTTTACCCTAGACAATGATTCCACTGAAACTCGGTAACAACTAGCGAATTTGTTGATGCTGAGAATGTCTAAAAACCTGACACTATCAATATCAGTTTGTCTTCCTTTTGGAAGGTTTCATCAAGTGCGGTCGTACGGACGAAACATAGCTGTGAATCTATGGTGGCATCATTTTCCGAAGTTCATACCACAGTACTGCGATGGAATGGAACCGAATCAGACGCTAGAAAAGTTCAATTTTACCTCACTTGATGAGTTAATGGAGTCAAGAGAACATGACATGTTGTAAGTACGAGAGAAGGTGAATTTTTACTCCAGCTTTATTTTTTATGTGCGCATGGGGGTAAACTTTAACTGGTTTTACCAACAGCCATTATGGCTCTTGGTTTTACGAAATGGCTTATTTAAATAGAGACAACATACGAAGGGCAGCAAACGTATATTAAAATTTCGGAGAGGTATTTAACTTTTATGTTTAAGCGCGAGAGTGGAAATTCACCTTAAAAGTAGTTATTCAAAGAGTCTGTACGGGCGGACTTTCGTACGCTGACATCATGGCACATTTTCTGGGAGATAGATAGGTTTCCTGTCCATTCTCTTTTAGGCCTTGGGGCACCCCTGCGGCTATGACGCTCCGCTATGACGAGGAATCCAAAAGGCAACCTCGTTCTTGAGGAAGGAAGAGAACTGAAGGGAAAACTTGGGAACGACTTTTCGATTTATAACAAACGCTTGGCTTTCAAATATTGAGAGCAGAGGCTAAATTTTCGCGTCGCGAACTGGCGTGAAAATGAAAAATAATGCATCTTGTTCGATTACATGTATAGTGATTTCAATTACTATACGTGCAGGCGTAAAGAACTCCTGGACATCAAAATTACCACATAATTTTCATATGCAATTGTTTTAAAATAGCTTGTAGACCGCTGTTCGTGACCAATCAGTTTTCAGACATTTATCAGTTAGTAGATCAATATTATGATATCAATACTGAATTAACCAGAAAGGAATACAGTCCCAAAGTATAGGAAAGGTATTATTATTATTAGTCTTTTCTAGTGTTCTTTTTGTGCATCAGCCGGGTGCAAACCATGCACCTAGAGCGTCAGTCACTCAAGTCAATCATTCTGTTCATACACTGAGCACCTTTCTGAGGATTCGCGCAGATCCCAGCATGCAGATCTTTTGAATCTCTGTCATAGTAGCTCTCTCTGATACTTTCTTGATGTTTTCTACCATACCCTTCTTCACTGTACCAAGCGCACCAACAACCACAGGGATCACTACGGTTTTCATATGCCACATTCTCTGTATTTCTAGTTCTAGGTCTTTGTACTTGCTTTTTTTTCAGTTTCCTTCAGTGCGATGTTTCTATCTGATGGAACAGTCATGCATATCAATCAGTTTGCAGGTGGAATTCACTGAATCTTTAACGATGATGTCTGGTATGTTCGCTGTTATAGTTCTATCAGTATTGACTCAGGGGCACCCAATGGATCTGTTCCTCAAAATATCTGTTCTTCAGGCACATTTTTGCTGGCTGGGAGATGTGGAAGAAATAATAGTCCTTGGAAGGAAAGTGTTGCTGGGAAAAAGATAATTCAGGGTGTCAGAGGGGATTTGAAGTCTAGAATAGCTGCTACGGGTTACTTTTATGGGTTACTTACCACTCAAGATCTGAATTGTGCCCTATGAAACTTCCCAGTAAGTCAGGTTGCAGGTTGTAAGGTTGCTGGCTGGTAACTCTTCCATCAGTCTTGTTGGGAGTGAGGAACAGATCATTTTTTTCCAGCAATCTCCCAAAATGCTTAAAATAGTCTCAGAAAACTTTATTCACGCTTTGTTGTTGTTTTTAGGTCTTTTTCTCAAAATTTCCCTTTGGGTGCCCCTGTTGACTGGCATGTCCCACATGATGGTGATGTTGTTATCTTTATTGTGCATCACGATCTCTGGCTCGTGTTCGTACCATTTGTCTGTAATCTCTATATCATGATCGTTACAGATGCTCCAATGGAGATATGCTGCAGCCTTATTGTGCCTGGAGATGTACTCTGTTTTGGCTAATTCTTCACATCCAGGTACAATATGGTCCACTGTCTCTTCATGTTGCGAACACATTCTGCATTTGCTCTCCACTTGCTGGCCACATATTACTTTCTGGTAGTCTCTGGTGTTTATTGCCTGGTCTTGAGCTGCTACAAGTAGTCCCTCTGTTTCTACTTTCAAATTACTTGATAACCATTTGTTGGTGGTGACTGTGTCCACATGAGGCTTCTCTAGGATCTTTGGATACTGGCCATGCAATGCTTTGTTTTTCCACTTTTCCTCTTTCATTGACTTCATCTTGGACTTTTAATTTTTTTCCAAGTAAATTGCCTAGTCGGCATCGGCGGTGTACGGAGACTGTTACCATACATGCCACGCTTCATTGAGAACGGCGTGTCTCAGTTTATGAACGTATATGAAAGTTTGATCTTCGATATCGCTAGGACGACTTCGTGAATACTATGCTCTTTAGATTCGTGTCTAGGGTACGGGTCTTTTCAAAAATGTGGTTAATTTACATCAACAATAATCATCAAAACAAAATAATCAAGAAGAAATAATATTCGTTGAAAAATTGACTAGAACTTATAAGAACTGCAAAATGAATGCTGAAGATCACCTCTTTGACTAAATGGAATAAGTGAAAAGGAAATGCTGGACAATTGAAAGAGCAGTTTTCTAAATTAATCTCACTGGTACTGATGGTCATACTAAGTATTTTGCTGCTCACTTTGAGTTTGATCCAATGTTTGTTTGCTAGCTCTTACTATCGTACGCTATCTCCACTCTTTTTATTGTTCAATAATTGTGTCTACCTATTCGTTTTCTTTATTGTTAGTAATCATTATTACTAATGTTTTTATTTCATTTTTTTCTGGAACACGTGGTTTGTCCTGTCGATACCCTGTGAGTGTTCTATACCTGTCGAGGAATGCTTGTAAACAAATCGTCTGAATAAAATAATTGCGATTTTTCATGTATATTGTTCAAAACTAATCTAACAATGGATGAACAACTTTTTCCAGAAACTATTTGCAGAGCTATCTTCGGAAAATGAACGAAATTTCCTACAGGATATTTGTAAGAAGATTAAGAAAGGTATTGATTGTCAGCTGGTGATTTTTTAGGCGTATAAATAAATTCTCCATGTGCAGGTAGAACAGTTTTTATAAGAAATTATTCCGGATTAATGTGGAAAACACAATAGGCAAAGTCGTTACGTGAGAAAAGAGTTCAGTCTCGCACAAGAATGTTTGGTACACCAACATGACCGCCGTAATAAAGTCATGTGAAAGGGACCTGGGGGTACTCAATAAAGTTTTATGCTGAGAGGCTTCGCCCCGAGGCTCAACCCCTCACCCTTTTATATAAATTTTTGACAAAAAAGGTACCCCTTTCATACACCTTTTATTAACAACTGAAATGGTACCCCTTTCACATACCTAGTTTAGAACTTTGCATCCCACTTAACTGCTGTAAATGCACTGTATGAATATGAATAAATCACGAAACAACATCGTTTTCTTGACGTTTTTACAGCCATAACATGCATCTTTTAGCCCTTTTTGGCCTTTTTACAGACCGAAATGACAGATTTTCCTACCCTTTCATATACCCGAAGCCTAAAATAGGTACTCCTTTCGGGCGGAGCCACCCCGTACAGGGGAGTATTCCCCCGGGGGAGAAACAAGCGATTGTATTTATAAAGGTTCAGGAAAAGGTTTCTGAAGCCTCTGAGGTGTAAAAATGTGAGCTTTACTTGGACCTTTCCTAAATTCTCAAGAAAATGTACTCGAAGAGACATTCGGAGCTCGAGGAGTTTCTCGAAGTCGTTTTTCATAGAAAGGCACCTTCTTAAATCTCCTCCTCCATACGTTTCGCAGAAAATGATCGGCAAAGTACTTGAAAAAGGGGTGGTATTTTAGGTATCTTACATGTATACCGTAAATGATCTACCAATGGTCCAAATCACTCTTCAAATATCAACCTCAACTTCAGAATACTCATTCAGGGTCATTGTGTTGTCATCCTTAGTCGTCTGTCCTTACTTTGACCTTTTTATTTTGAACAAGATCCAATGCGAAACCCTTGTTAATCAAGCAAGGAGCTGACTAAATTGAATGATTTTGCTCCTTTTTGCTATTTCCTGAAATTTTTGAGTAATTGTCATGTGGGCTTCTATTAGACAAGGGCTTTTATTAGAGAGGGACGTCTAATACAAACTTTAAAGCGCAAGGGAGGCGTTTATTTGAGAGAGGGCGCTTATTAGATCATTACGGTATGCCTGGGAATGCTGGGTTTAATCTCTAGTTTTACCAACTTTTTCTTAGGATCCTCAGTTATTTAATAACGACTTGACAGAGTGGACTGAAGAACTGAAGGCAACAGCTAGGAAGGTAACAGAGCAAGGGTGGTTAGTTCAAGAAGAATTTTGGAATTTAAAGTGTTGGGACTACGGGAGGTGCAGCTATTTTTCTTTTAGGCGTGAAATTCAGCACTCACTAACGATCACTCAGTCGACTAACATGGGATTTAATACGACATTATCTCGTCGTAACGTGTACCGTATTAAAAACAACTTCTATAGAGTTTGCCTTAGTTATAGATTCACCGTGGTCAAAAGAGAGAACTTCCTGCAAAAGCGAGGGAAAGTACTTAAAAGCTCAGGTTGCTACTTTCACTGTTACAAGCTTGGGATATTATTGGTATATGCAGTCTTCCTTTAATTAACTTTTTCTGAGTTTACTCAAAACGTTCTTAGTGTTTAAAAACGGAAACTGATGTTGTTGTATACGTTTGCTACGTATGATGCCGAATAAAATCGCAGAATATAAAACAAGATAACGGCTTGCATTGGATGTTTGAACTCGATGGAATTTATAGAGGCTCAAGTCGCGCAAATTTCTCATGGTTTATTGTTCTCTTTTTTCAAGTTGTTTAGACTAATGGATGTGGACCGAGACAAGCATTTTTCTGTTTCTGATCTTCAAGCACTTGAAGAAGAGGATAACAGGGTAAGTGGTCAAGCTGTCGAGAAAAATACATCATTTTGGAACAGGTTCCTATTATTGCAGCGGTTGTTTAGTACTCGCGTTTCCCCTCACGTCGTATTTGCCAACTGGTTCAGTATTGCCTAGTTCTGGGGGCCTTTTTTCTCTAACCTACCGACCCAACCTCGTCCCCAGGGCTTTTCCCTCAAAAAATGGGCACCCATTGTTTAAGGGAAAAGCCCTGGGGACGAGGTTGCTACCGACCAATCAGTTCAAAACAAACTCAGCGATCCTGAACGGGTATAAAGAAACATTGAGAGCCTCAGTTTCACAATTAAGGTATGAGTTGATCGGTTGTTAGATCGATGAACGTAACCTTCCCCACTCGATTGCTAGATAGATAAATTAATCGGTTGATAAGAACAATAATTGTTTAGTCTTATTGAAAATTACCCCACTATATAACCCAGTCACACTGGTGAATTTGCGCCCTTCGATGGCCAGGATTTAAACGAATTGCAAAAACGAAAGAAAAAACTTTTATGTTGTCGAAAAAGACGACGACGACGGCTGTTAAAACGTCGCTAAAAAAATGAATTTGCAATCTTTGAAAGTTGATCGGACGCCATCTACCGTCGACGCCATAAGTGGATTTAGTTTGTTGTTGGTTCTCTTCTTTGATTGCTCTGAGAGGTTTTTCTCCTTCCGGTTTTCCCATCTCCCCCCCAGTCAAAAACCAACAGTTTCAAATAGACCTTGTCACGGTTTTCGACGCCATCTTGACGAGTAGGCAAACGCGTGAGAAATTACAGTGTTTGTATGAGAATCTAATTTCGAATAATTTCCTTAAAATCGTTGTTCTGAAAAAAAAAAAAAGATTTGTAAACTAAAGCTTCATTCCTAACGACTCTGCTGAAAAAATTTGAGGGCGTTACATGCACTAGAAGACCTAGAACCACTTTTTAAATTTCTTATACATTTGTCTGTAAGAAAGTCTCGGGAAAAATTACAGACAAATATATGGAAAATCTAAAGCAAGCCTCTGGAGAAATTTAAGCAAAGGTACGCTCCCAAAATTTTTTTGGACAGTCCTTTGCTTTGTAGCTTTAGTTTACAATTGATATTTTTTTCAGAACAGCCGTTTTATGGAAATTATTCGACATTAGATTTTCATACAAACACTGTAATTTCTCACGCGTTTGCCTACTCGTCAAGATGGCGTCGAAAACCGTGACAAGGTCTATTCCAATTCGACCAGGAATCATGAAGACAAAGAAGCACTACGTGGATGTGCTGCCTTTGAATTCTTATTTATTGCTGTTTATCTTCTATTCACGCTACTGTCGAGTACTTTCAAATTTAGAGAGGAAATCATTGGAAAAAGTTGTTTTGAAAACAGATTTTGGATTGATGAAGAAATGTTAGACTCCTTAACGATTTTCATAATTGCATAATTATCAGTTCCCGGGTTGATTACGAACAAATGACCAGCTGCCAGTTGACTCGCCAGCTCAATTGTTTAGTGCGCCTCACCGGTATCGCAGTGGTCAGGGTGTCGAATCCCGGCAAGCATAAGATTTTTTCAGACCTTGTTTTTGCAACAGCATAAGGTGCGTTTTTGACTGGGATGATCTTCTCTGCATTTTATACTTCTTCATCCCTCAATTCAAGTATATGAAACTTTTCTAGTGAAAAATGGTAAAATAAAGCTTTCCGGGAAGTCTATATTTTGAAAATACGCGAAAAACCTTTAAGGCATATCTCGTATTCTTAAAAAGTCGTCCTCGTCCTTGAATCTAAAGGTCTCTATTAGCTGGGTAATAACCAATTTTTCTAAATATGAAATAATATTTCTTTAAAGGTTCCCATTGATTTTCCGGCGGAGGGCTATTCCGGTGTCGACGTAGACAGGTATATAGGTATTTGCTTTTATTTTGCGATTGACATCAATGGTAAAATATCAGATAGGATATCATCTGAGCTGTTTGGTGGAGTTGTAAAAAAATGGCGGACGATTACACACCTTATGCGTAGATGAAATAACCGAGACAGAACATGATATATAGCACTCAAAAACCAGACCACCAAGTTGAGAAAGTTGTAATCGCTGAAGTCTAAGACAGAATCTTCAGCGGTTCTCGGAAAGTCAATTTTTAAGAAGGATAAACTCATTCTGACCGAGAGAAAGTCCCATTATTCTTTATTTTTCTGACATTATATTGAAATTTATTTGGTGTGCGCAATGCGTGGCGGTCGGGAAAAATCGGATGTACTTAAGCAAGCTGCGAGGAGCCCGGTCATGCTCATATCGTCGCGATATTTTTTTTTGGTGCTTTAAAACGAAAGCAAGAAACAAGTTTTGTGATCTGGCTTATCACTTTTGTTGTTTGGCACAATCTAACCGCCATGATAAGCTAGCAAAAAAATTAGTTCATTCTCGCAAGGAGCCTAGTCTAAGGTCAAAGTCTAAGGTAACCCTGTTCTCGCCCCAGACCCTCGATCATGTTTCTCTTTTCTGGGGGCACGAGTGTCTAGGGTAGAGAATGTAGATTTGTGAGTAGCTTTACAACTGTTTTGTTTCTTCGAAAAGTTGTTATTGGTGTTGTATTTGCGTCTTTAGGGTGGACTTTGAGAAATATCCTGGACTTATTGACGTGGAATATTACAATGTGACTATGGAGGCAGGGGATTGTCTGTTCATTCCCCAAAGATGGTAATTATTCTATTAACTTGAGATCTAGAAAAACTGATTTGAAATAAAACGCCGAATCATTGCATTGTCAGCCCGAATCATCTTTTCACGCAGTACATTCGAACTACCGAGTGATTTCGAGGGACAAACAAAATACTAAGAACAATAATAAACAATTGAAATAAGTAATAAAAATTAAGTTTTAGAGACTACAATTTTGAAGGTGTCTTTACTTTTGGCCAGAGGATATTTTACATTTTGAGCTGTTTTGGATACAAGGTGCCCAATGAATTCTGATAGGTATACAAAAAATTTGTAGTCATGAGAATCGCATATTGCAATCATTGACATTGACATTGCAGAATTAATGAAGATTTTTCGAAAGTATTGTTCACGCCAATTTACGACCGTCTCGTGACATTTTGCGAAAAGAATAGGTACTAGTACCTACTTTATTTGTTGCTGCCCTGTCCACACTAATGCAATTTTTTTGTCATCGAAAACGCATCGAACGATTCGTGTCCACACTCGGCCGTTTTTATGCGATCTCGACTGTCCACAAAACGGTGTAGAATCGCTCGTTGAGACGTAAGTTGAACTCTTTGCGCATGCCACAAACGTACGCGCCTGCGATATTTTCGGTCATCCTTTTCACTCGATATGTCTTCGACCGTCTACACTAATACGATATGTATGTATTTCCGTTTTGATCCACTTAGTTTCAAAAGCGTTTTCAAATCGATGCGTTTTCGATGAAAACGCTCAGCGTATTAGTGCTGACGGAAGGCCTAAACGCGTCGAATAGTATGCGTTTTCAAACGAAAACGCATTAGTGTGCGCGGGGCCTAAGGCCACTCTTCTTTTACCCTAGACAATGATTCCACTGAAACTCGACAACAACTAGCGAATTTGTTGATGCTGAGAATGTCTAAAAACCTGACACTAGCAATGTGAGTTTGTCTTCCTTTTGAAAGGTTTCATCAAGTGCGGTCGTACGGACGAAACATAGCTGTGAATCTATGGTGGCATCATTTTCCGAAGTTCATACCACAGTATTGCGATGGAATGGAACCAAATCAGACGCTAGAAAAGTTCAATTTTACCTCACTTGATGAGTTAATGGAGTCAAGGGAACATGACATGTTGTAAGTACGAGTGAAGGTGAATTTTTACCCCAGCGTTATTTTTGTGTACACATTGCGGTAAACTTCAACTGGTTTTACTAACAGCCATTATGGCTCTTGGTTTTACGAAATGGCTTATTTAAATAGAGACAACATATGAAGGGCAGCAAACGTAAATTAAAAGTTGGGAGAGGTATTTAACTTTTATGTTTAAGCGCGAGAGTGGAAATTCACCTTAAAAGTAGTTATTCAAAGAGTCTGTACGGGCTGACTTTCGTACGCTGACATCATGGCACATTTTCTGGGAGATAGATAGGTTTCCTGTCCATTCTCTTTTAGGCCTTGGGGCACCCCTGCGGCTATGACGCTCCGCTATGACGAGGAATCCAAAAGGCAACCTCGTTCTTGAGGAAGGAAGAGAACTGAAGGGAAAACTTGGGAACGACTTTTCGATTTATAACAAACGCTTGGCTTTCAAATATTGAGAGCAGAGGCTAAATTTTCGCGTCGCGAACTGGCGTGAAAATGAAAAATAATGCATCTTGTTCGATTACATGTATAGTGATTTCAATTACTATGCATGCAGGCGTAAAGAACTCCTGGACATCAAAATTACCACATAATTTTCATATGCAATTGTTTTAAAATAGCTTGTAGACCGCTGTTCGTGACCAATCAGTTTTCAGACATTTATCAGTTAGTAGATCAATATTATGATATCAATACTGAATTAACCAGAAAGGAATACAGTCCCAAAGTAAAGGAAAGGTATTATTATTATTAGTCTTTTCTAGTGTTCTTTTTGTGCATCAGCCGGGTGCAAACCATGCACCTAGAGCGTCAGTCACTCAAGTCAATCATTCTGTTCATACACTGAGCACCTTTCTGAGGATTCGCGCAGATCCCAGCATGCAGATCTTTTGAATCTCTGTCATAGTAGCTCTCTCTGATACTTTCTTGATGTTTTCTACCATACCCTTCTTCACTGTACCAAGCGCACCAACAACCACAGGGATCACTACGGTTTTCATATGCCACATTCTCTGTATTTCTAGTTCTAGGTCTTTGTACTTGCTTTTTTTTCAGTTTCCTTCAGTGCGATGTTTCTATCTGATGGAACAGTCATGCATATCAATCAGTTTGCAGGTGGAATTCACTGAATCTTTAACGATGATGTCTGGTATGTTCGCTGTTATAGTTCTATCAGTATTGACTCAGGGGCACCCAATGGATCTGTTCCTCAAAATATCTGTTCTTCAGGCACATTTTTGCTGGCTGGGAGATGTGGAAGAAATAATAGTCCTTGGAAGGAAAGTGTTGCTGGGAAAAAGATAATTCAGGGTGTCAGAGGGGATTTGAAGTCTAGAATAGCTGCTACGGGTTACTTTTATGGGTTACTTACCACTCAAGATCTGAATTGTGCCCTATGAAACTTCCCAGTAAGTCAGGTTGCAGGTTGTAAGGTTGCTGGCTGGTAACTCTTCCATCAGTCTTGTTGGGAGTGAGGAACAGATCATTTTTTTCCAGCAATCTCCCAAAATGCTTAAAATAGTCTCAGAAAACTTTATTCACGCTTTGTTGTTGTTTTTAGGTCTTTTTCTCAAAATTTCCCTTTGGGTGCCCCTGTTGACTGGCATGTCCCACATGATGGTGATGTTGTTATCTTTATTGTGCATCACGATCTCTGGCTCGTGTTCGTACCATTTGTCTGTAATCTCTATATCATGATCGTTACAGATGCTCCAATGGAGATATGCTGCAGCCTTATTGTGCCTGGAGATGTACTCTGTTTTGGCTAATTCTTCACATCCAGGTACAATATGGTCCACTGTCTCTTCATGTTGCGAACACATTCTGCATTTGCTCTCCACTTGCTGGCCACATATTACTTTCTGGTAGTCTCTGGTGTTTATTGCCTGGTCTTGAGCTGCTACAAGTAGTCCCTCTGTTTCTACTTTCAAATTACTTGATAACCATTTGTTGGTGGTGACTGTGTCCACATGAGGCTTCTCTAGGATCTTTGGATACTGGCCATGCAATGCTTTGTTTTTCCACTTTTCCTCTTTCATTGACTTCATCTTGGACTTTTAATTTTTTTCCAAGTAAATTGCCTAGTCGGCATCGGCGGTGTACGGAGACTGTTACCATACATGCCACGCTTCATTGAGAACGGCGTGTCTCAGTTTATGAACGTATATGAAAGTTTGATCTTCGATATCGCTAGGACGACTTCGTGAATACTATGCTCTTTAGATTCGTGTCTAGGGTACGGGTCTTTTCAAAAATGTGGTTAATTTACATCAACAATAATCATCAAAACAAAATAATCAAGAAGAAATAATATTCGTTGAAAAATTGACTAGAACTTATAAGAACTGCAAAATGAATGCTGAAGATCACCTCTTTGACTAAATGGAATAAGTGAAAAGGAAATGCTGGACAATTGAAAGAGCAGTTTTCTAAATTAATCTCACTGGTACTGATGGTCATACTAAGTATTTTGCTGCTCACTTTGAGTTTGATCCAATGTTTGTTTGCTAGCTCTTACTATCGTACGCTATCTCCACTCTTTTTATTGTTCAATAATTGTGTCTACCTATTCGTTTTCTTTATTGTTAGTAATCATTATTACTAATGTTTTTATTTCATTTTTTTCTGGAACACGTGGTTTGTCCTGTCGATACCCTGTGAGTGTTCTATACCTGTCGAGGAATGCTTGTAAACAAATCGTCTGAATAAAATAATTGCGATTTTTCATGTATATTGTTCAAAACTAATCTAACAATGGATGAACAACTTTTTCCAGAAACTATTTGCAGAGCTATCTTCGGAAAATGAACGAAATTTCCTACAGGATATTTGTAAGAAGATTAAGAAAGGTATTGATTGTCAGCTGGTGATTTTTTAGGCGTATAAATAAATTCTCCATGTGCAGGTA